ATGGGCAAACTTTTTGACTGGAGGGCCACAATGGGTTCTTAAACTGGACCGAGGGCCGGAACAAAAGCATGGATGGAGTGTTTGTGTGAACTAATATAAATTCAAAGTAAACATCATTACATAAAAGGGTACAGTCTTTTTTTTTTTTAGTTTTATTCATTTCAAATGGGCCAGATCCGGCCCGCGGGCCGTAGTTTGCCCATGGCTGCTCTAGCCACTGAGCCAAACTGGTTAGGGCAAAAAAATATTTTTTAAAAAAAGCTATAGAAAGGTAACATAAAGAAGTCTTGGCTCTGCAACTTATTATTACCTAATGACCCTAAGCCAGTCATTTAGCCTCAAGTCTCATTTGCCTCAACTGAAAAAGGAAGGAAAAATGAAGCTAACACAAAACCTACTTACCTGAATTAACAAACATTAAGTGCTCGATCCACATTAAGAGCCTCCAAATATTAGCTATTATGATTTTTCCCCATCAGTACTTACTTTTTAGAAATGTTTATTAAATTTATTGGGGTGGTATTGGCTAATAAAATTATGTAAGTTTCAAGTGTACAATTCTGTAATACATCATCTATATATGGTATTGTGTGTCACCATCCAAAGTCAAGTCTCTCAGTATTTATTGATTGTCTAATAAGTATGTGCTGTATTTATAATGAGGGGGGGAGGTGTGAAAGTTCACAGGCCTACCCGGTCAGCGTAGCTCATGGACTGTGCACTGACCTATGAACCAAGAGGTCATGGTTCAATTTCCGGTCCGGGCACATGCCGGGATTGTGGGCCTGATCCCCAGTGTGGGGCATGCAGGAGGCAGCCAATCGATGATTCTCTCTCATCATTGATGTTTCTATCTCTCTCTCCTCTCTTCCTCTCTGAAATCAATAAAAAGATATTAAAAAAAAAAAGTTCACAGGCCATTCCAGTCAGGAAATCCTGGTTCTAAATAAGACAGAAAGAGAAACCGAATCATATGAACAGGAAATCGGGGGATAAGAACGGCCCCCCAGTAGGAGGCCACGTCTCTCCAGGGTATAGAGAAGTCCTCAGAGGACGGGCAATCTCCTGAGAGCTTGCTGGAAAAAGGACACATTCCCCAGGCAGCCTGCATGCGCAATCCTGAAAGACAAACTCAATCCTGGCCTTGGCCAAGGGAGGCCGTGGGAGCAGAGGCTTTCCCAAGTTGTGAGGACAGAAGAGTCAGCGGAGCAGGCGGCCCAGCGGAGAGTGAGAGGAAGGTGAGGCCGCGGCTGCAAGCCAAGTCCTGCGTCACGAGGACTGTGAACTCCTCTGTCCAAGTGCAGGAGCCTGGCTTGTACTTGATTTCCCGTCTACGCCAGAGAGGCTACCTAAATGATCGGGTTTTCTAGCTTTGGGCTATAACATTTCTCAGTGTGGGTGCATCTGTCCTCTCATCTATAAACATATAAAAGGCTAATATGCTGTGTTCGACCAGTCGCTATGGCGCGCCCTGACCAGCAGGGGGTAGACGCTCAACACAGGAGCTGTCGAGCTGCTGTGATTTGGCAGCAGAGGTTCTCAGGTGACACACCCAGAAACCAGAGAGGAGGGAGCCTGATTCCTCATGGGGCCACGCGATTCCACCCTTGGCTGTGGGTTATGTTGTTGCTAAGGCACTGTCGGCCCTTAATCAGCTTTACTCCACACTTGCGTTTGCGTTCCACACCCTATACAACAGCAACTTTGCAGAGTGCCCTCTTGCACCCCAGGACTCCTCGGGGGATATCAGAGAGCCGGTTTCGGCCCAATCCCCAGAGGCCAGGCTGAGGGACCCCACCTGCCAGAGGAACCCCACTCACTCTGCAGACGCTGGGCAGGGACCACAGGAGGTTGGCTCCAGGGCGTGTCTGGCCCATCTTGCCGTCTCACCCTGCCGGCCACCTTCTAACTAATTTCCTTTCAACGTGCACGAATCCGTGAACCGTGTCACTAGTATTCAATCAAGCTCACATTGGCTTTAACAAAAATGAAAAAATAATAAATGCAATCTGGCGTATAAAAGATTTAAAATCGAAGTCCTTGAATGAAACTAATAAAAGGGAACATGGGTGGTAAAAAAAACAACAACCTACAAATCAATAGGACACTGAGAGGAGATAGCAGGGGAGTTATAAAACGAAAACGAACGAGGCACAAAATAATGGCTTGGGAAGGAGAGGATAAGGAAAATGGGAAAGAAAAAGTTTACATGGGGAGGAGGACAAAAGAATGCCTTACTGCTGGCTCAGTAGTTGAGCGCTGACCCATGAATCAGGAGGTCATGGGTTTGATTCCCAGTTAGGGCACATATCTGGATTATGGGTTCAATCCCCAGTGTGGGGTATGCAGGAGGCAGCCAATCAATGATTCTTATCATCGGTGTTTCTACCTGTCTCTCCCTTCCTCTCTGAAATCAATAAGAAAAGAAAAAAAAAGAATGAAGGTGTATACCTGAAACTGATATAAAATAATATTGAATGTAAACTGTAATTTTAAAAATTTTTTTAAAGAATGAAGTCCCTGGCTGGTGTGGCTCAGTTGGTTGAGTGCCATCCTGTGCACTGAAGGGTCTCTGGTTTGTTTCCTGGCGAGGACATACGCCTGGGTTTTGGGTTCAGTCACTGGTCAAGGTACATGCAGGAGGCAGCTGATTGATGTTTCTCTTTCACAGCGATCTTTCTCTCTGCTTTCTCTCTCTCTCTCTTTTCCTTCCTCTTTCTCTAAAATCAATACAAAAACAAAAAAGGAAAGTGAAAGAGTCAAATAAAAGTAAAAGAACTTGTTAGCAGATCTGCACTACAGCAAATGCTGAAGTTCCGCCCTAGCCAATCTGGCTCAGTGGACAGAGCGTTGGCCTGTGGACCAAAAGGTCCCAGGCTCGATTCCGGTCAAGGGCACATTCCTTGGTTGCAGGCTCCTCCCTGGCCCAGGCCCTGATCAGGGCACGTGTGGGAGGAAATCAATTGATGTGTTTCTCTCACATCCATGTTTCTCTCTGTCTTTCCCTCTCTTTCCACTCTCTCTAAAAGACCAATGGAAAAATATCCTAAAAAAAAGAAAAAAAAAGAAAAATATCCTGGGGTGAGGATTAACAAAAAACAAAAAATGCTGAAGTTCTTCAGGTTAAAGGGAAGTGATACCAGATTGAAAGTGGGTATTCAGGAAGGAATGAAGAGCACTGGAAATGGTAAAAACCTGAGTAAATATAAAAGACTGTTTTTTCCTCTTTCATTAAACTTTAAATATATATTTATAAAAATATAGTTTTATTGATTTCAGAGCAAAAACAAAAAAGGAAAGTGAAAGAGTCAAATAAAAGTAAAAGAACTTGTTAGCAGATCTGCACTACAGCAAATGCTGAAGTTCCGCCCTAGCCAATCTGGCTCAGTGGACAGAGCGTTGGCCTGTGGACCAAAAGGTCCCAGGCTCGATTCCGGTCAAGGGCACATTCCTTGGTTGCAGGCTCCTCCCTGGCCCAGGCCCTGATCAGGGCACGTGTGGGAGGAAATCAATTGATGTGTTTCTCTCACATCCATGTTTCACCAGCCAGGCCGTATGTGTATTTTTAATAATGAATCTCCCCTACTAGGCTTTAAGTTCTGCAAGTGCAGGGATGTTTATCTCTTTTGTACAAGGCTGTAC